CGGGCTCGTAACCTTACGTAAGATTACGAAGCGTAGGGTTTACGTAATACTTCGCATTATTAAATTTACTGATGTAGATGATATAAGTTATAAGATTGCTTATATTTATATAAACTTTTTGATAGATAATAATAATAATAATAATAATAATAATAATATCTCTTTTCACAACAATTTTAAATAATAATAAACCTATAAAGTGTAATTGTAAAATTTGCATCAGAATTTGTAAAGCAAAGAGTGATTGATCAATTAGGTAATTTATTCTTAGGCAGTTAATTTGAGTATATTATTTACAGAATTTGTGAAAGAAAGAATGTTTTGATGTTGGTCCTTTAGATTCCTTCCTTTAAAGATCCATCATAAAGATTCAGAAGCAGATGTCAATTTGCCTCTACAGAATGAAACACTAATGTTCAACAGAAAAAGTATCAATTCGGTTAAGCAAGAAAATTATTATGTACCAAAGGAAAAAATTTTCCTTTGATTGATTCAATCATTGCTCTCAATCATACCTTTCAGATGACTATTACAAAAAATCATCTTATTAAGCCGCTTGGTTTAAAACTACTTTGTGACAAAATTAGGCGGCCAATCAGGCAAAGGTTTCATCTACTATTTATTTTGTTGTACCGACGCATCTGTATGATGATTTTAAAATGCAAAGGTTTGATACCAAGAAGATGTCACGTTGGATGATCATATACAAATATAACATTTTACATAATTTTAATTCTGTTATTTTGCATGAAAATCGTATATAATTTTAACCTATTTTATTTTTGTCAAAATTAAAAATTCATTGCAAGCATGCGTAACGTTTTTTTACGTCATTTAAATAAAGTTTCTGATTATTAAATGTTTAATTGATCTTTTGACGGTCGACGATCCCTTCATTACGATAAAATTCGAAATGCCGTAAATGAAAACGCTGGAATATTCCTTTAAAATATTTAAATTTGAAATTAGAATAATCCACGTAAAGTGATGATGAAACACACTATTTTGATCAACTTTCACGCGTCAACTAAATTAGTTCACTAAAATGAATTCGATTTTATTAGGTTATAAATCTTCATTTATATTTTGATTTTCTCTCCATTTTCTTCCCTTAAAGTAAACCAAGATTATTAATATATTACTTAATAATACTATAGAGGTTAAAGCAGTAAATAGCCAACCAACGCCAAACTCATTTGCTATAGGAACGGTTAATATTATTACAATCGTTGATATTAAAGTAGATATAGCATCACCTATTGCAAGTATTGAAACATTAAATTCTTCAGGATAAGAATCTGTAGTATAAGCAATTGTTGAATTCGCTGAAAATGATACTCCAAATTCTCCTATTTATTTATTTTTTATTTATTTATTTATTTATTTAGAATTTTTTTTTTTTTTTAAAAAAAAAGAAGCGCGTTATTCTATCATAATTATTTATTTTTTTTAAAAAAAAAAAAAAAGTTACTTTTTAAATTGGTTATACCTATAAACATCATGATTAATGGCCAAATAATATCAACTCTCCTCTCCAAAATCCAACCAAATATGTAAAATGATATGATTGTTAATAAAACTCCGATCCAGATACTTTTTAATCTCAATTCAGGATAACTCTCTTCTTTTCCATTTTTTTCTTCGTACTTATTTATCAAATAATCGGAATAATGACTTCCCAATATACTTCCAATAATGCAACCAATACCAGGAGCCAGAAATACCAAACCAATATACAAAGAAGATAAATTATAAATATTGGTAAATGAAAAAGGAATTATGATATGTAATACATAAATTAACATCCAAGCTGTTGTATTATAAATAATTGTTAATATTATATTTGGATAAAAAAGTAACTTGAAAGGTGATAATAAATTAAATTGTTTTGTGTTTGATGAGTTTGTAATCGAACCAGTTATCATTGGTATAGGTGTAGATGAGATTTCTGAGGATGAATTATAAAGTGTTTCGGGAATAAAAAAGGTTATCAATAATAATAAGATACTTCCGTAAATTGATAAAAACCAAAATATTGAATGCCATCCTAAAAATTCTGTAAGTAATCCTCCTATTATAGGTCCCGTTAACTCTCCAAAATAAAATCCTAATAATATTTTGGTGTTTGCCTGTTCTCTCTCTATCAAAAGTCATTAAAAAAAAAAAAAAAAAAAATTTTTTTTTTTCTTTTATCAAAGGTTTTATTATCTGGTTTACCTAAATTACAAGGAATTATTCATTACCTTTTGAAATATAAATATCGGTCACAATACCCGATCCTATAAATTGTACGCTTGAAGATCCAAATGCTTGTAATGTTCGCATCACGATCAATATCCAGATATTTTTTGCTATTGCACATAACATACTTGAAATTGTAAATATCAGCATGACAAGTATATATATATTTTTTCTTCCATATATATTTGCATAAGATCCAACCACTAATGGCTACATCAAACGAGTTAGTATTTACGCGACTTTCTGATCACAATCAGAATTCAACAAAGAGCACGTACGATGAATCCCATAAATAATATAAATAATCCGACTGTTGTTTTAATGAATGATTGAAAAAATCGATTAAAATAAAGACCCCCCGATAATTTACGTTTCAAAGAGAGAAATAAGTTGTTGAATACCTGATATATTTACGATAAATTGTGTAGTATTGAAGTATTCACGTATCGCAATAAGGGCCGGATAATATATTCTAAATACATGGATGTTTTTTTTGATATGAATTAACGACCACTATATATAATATTATTATCATATATATTACTTACGAGATTGATATTGGAAGAATAGGTATAGCGAATGAAGAAATAAATAAGACTGAGAATTTCTTTTTATTAGTCCAATTCTTTGGATCTTTTGTTGAAAGTTTCATTGATACATTCGACGTAGCAATATCATCCTGATCGATATTTCTACTTATTAACGAGGGCTTATTTTGTGACGATGGTAATGAATCGTCTATCACTTCAATGAACGCTTTCTTTTCTGTCATTTTATGAATTGAATCGTACAAATTAACGCATAACTTTTATTAAATCTCAAGAACGTTGTTAAAGAAAAAAAAAAAGTTATATTTTATATAGAAATTTGATATTTATATAAGTAACAAAATAAGCCATAATTAACAGGCTTATACTAATATTTGAGAATTTTTTTTTTTGCGCAATTTTTCATTAACCAATCAGATTTATCAGATCTGCACCTTGGTTTATATCATTATGGACAAACCCTTCCGTAAAAAAAATACTCGAAATATAAATGAAGCAAGGCAAAATCAAAGTCGGGCAGGAGCTTAGCAAAATGCATAATGGTAACACTGACGGATCAATTAATTCATTGTACTTATACGATTGAGAATTGAAGAAAATTTGGAAGGAAATATGGCGGTGCATAAAAGGAAAATCTTATTATTTTCGTAAAGATAATATCGTACGTACAGTAACTGATTTCATGATTTCATGTATAAATTTTTGTAATTTTTATAATGTCCAGTCGATAAATTATATTTATTTGAACAACATAAACCAATTTATGAGATGTAAAAAACCTAAAAAAAAAATAATGATATTTAAAAAATTACACATTGGACTGTGGTCAATTTTATAGAATATGAAACGTATGACCTCGATACGTGGAAGAGCACATATTTTTATAATTAGCTGAGTAAAAAAAAAAAAAAAGAAGATTTTACAATATTATTAAAAAATAAATATTAGTGGTGGAAGTTTTAAAATTATATCGCATATGAATTGTTGTTATTCTAAACGAATCATCGAATCATCCTTAAATTTACACTACTTCAAGGTACATTCATTAAAAATAAAAAAATTCTGTTACATTTTCTCATTACAAAAAGGGGAATTAGTCATCAAACAATAAAAAAAAGGAACTTGGTAAAATATTATTCCTTGATTATGTCAACCAAATCATAATATCACGTCATTCTATTGATGTTTCTATATTAAAGTTATGTATGAAATTCGTTTACAATTTTATTCTTAAAAAAAAGGAAATTATAATACAATACTGTATGTACTACAAAATATTCATTAAGCATCGGCCAAGTCTATAAAGTTTCTATAATATTTATAATTCGTAATTATTAAAATATATTTTATACATCCGAATAAAAAAAAAAAAAAAATAATGAAAAAAAAAATAATAAAAATAAAAAAGGAATAAATCCAGAAAATTAAATGAAATTGTTTTTTTGGAGATGGGAAAAAAAAAATTTTTTATTTACAAGATATAAAATAATCATTCCACTTTTAAAGTGTCATGTTATTTGTCCCAGACATAGATGGAATGGTAGTTGCACCCATCAAAGTTGTGACGGAATGTTGCATATGTGGATTACTAACAACGTTTGGAGAATCAGCTGTTGATGTCAAATTGTCAACATTAGAATTAGAAGTTCGTAAACCCATTCTTAACATTAATTCTGTCCAATCTGTCCAACCAGTCCAATCAACCGCTGACGGGAATGATATGAATGGATTATTATTACCCATTGGATCATCAATGTTATCAAATATTAAGGATACGTCTGGATTATCTGGATTAAAAACATCAGCATTTGGTGGAAATAATCCCCCATCGGCTGTTAAATAATCAAAGGACATATATCCTGATGACGTTGAAGTTGTAGATTCGGGCGATGATGTTCGTTCATATTGTATTGCATCACTTGCCGGTGATTTCATTGTTGATGATTGTGAACTATTCTCCGACGGCGTATTTTGATGATTCATATATGCTGCATATACTGATCCCGCATAGGCCGATTGCTGCTGCTGCTGCTGTTGTTGTTGTTGTTGCTGTTGATAATGATTGTGTTCGAATGAATTTAATGAATTTGTCGAATTTGTTGGAGAAGATGGATTTTTTGATGGGGCAAATGTAACTTTTGGTGGAGGATATTCCTCAGTCCTCTCTATACAATTAAGGAAAGGATTTTTGTCTCGAGGAGTTCCTTCGGTTGCCATATCTTCCAACTTGATATATCTTGAAAAATTATTTGATGATTTCTTATCTGACGAAATCTTTGTTTTTTGTAATTGTGACTTGTCACCTTGCGATTCATCCGTAACACCTTCCAATTCAATATTTCGCGCTTTTAATAAATCGTGAATTATATTTATTAATTTATCAGTAGCGAACCAAAATTCTGCCATATACTCCAAACATTTTAATGTCATTCTCAGACCATGTTTTGCAACTTCCCTAAACCGATCATCCCCACTTAAGGCATTAATGATATGCATTGATGTCGCGATAATGAAAGAATAAATCATATAAGGCCAAGAAAATTTCAAGGCACGATCTTTCATTGCACGATGCAAAATGTGAGTAATATTATTTGCGGCCATAGTACAAATGGTTAAAGAAGGAATTGAAGAGGATGGAGCTTTTGATTTCGGTCCACAAATGTGAGGACGATGTAATAGAATTTGTTGAGTATAATATAATAAATTCATAAACACTTTCCTATTCGAACTTATATTATCATAATGAATTGGCGTTGAATCATAATGGAATTTCTTTGGAAGATTTTCACGCCATTCACTCAATTCATGATCCAAGGAAGCCAACATATGTTCCGCATTCTCCTGTGAAGATTTGGATTTTATACCATAAATATGATTAAGTATACGTCCAAGAATCAAATTACATTTAAGTATTTCAACCCATCCTTCAATAGTTTCATCATCATCTTCAGGAACTTTTCCCGCAACGGGAAAATCTACGTCACAATCTGCATCATTTATAGCGAGCGGCCTACCCAAACCCGCAGCAGTGAATCGATCTGCTACAACACAAGCCCACCAAACTCTTCTTCTGATTTCACCTTGTCTCTCATCAAAATTCCATTGGGAGGAATCACGATGTAAACCCAAATCTTGAGCAAGTCTAATAGCAAGTCCAACGTACACCCAAGTGACGGAATTTCTATGACTTTGATGATGTGATGCCAACAATAATAATGATTGAACTACCGAAATAGTAGAATTACCAAATTCATCCTTTAATAACTCTTTTGCCTTATTATAATACTGTATACCCGCACTAGAAGCATCAACAGGATTAGGTCCTTCGGTTGGATCGTCAACATATTTGGCGGAAATAGAGAAAATTGAGTATAATAAGATAACCGAAGTATGATTAGATTCCAAATTATTATATTTTTCCATTAAATCTTGTTTATCAAAGAATGGCATGACAGGATGGACCTCATTCCAAAAAGCATCTAATAATTTATCACATATTTCTTTTGGAGGTAATTCGAACACCATGTTTGTTCCGATACGCTTTATGGGCGCGTAAAACTCGGTTTTTGGTATTGTGATGATTTGCCCGTTGGCAACTTTTTTTGTAATTTTAAATAAGATAATTCCTGAACTATTTCCAAGATACCTCGTGTGTCCACTTTCATCTATTGTGAGTTGTCCCATACTATCATTTAAATCATATCGAGATCCGCTATATTCATTACCATCACTTGAAAAACACTCTTCCGAGTCACTACCTTGTCCGACATTTTTATATGATTTGTGATTAGATGATGATGTCACCACACTTTTCGAAGCATTCGATGAATTGGTTCTACCATTTCTTAAATTACTTCCAATGGTTACGGAATCATAGGATGACTTTCTTAATCTGGAGCTATGGGAACTATTTGAATCCTGATCTGACTTGAAGTTGCTCTCATTAACGTTAATCCATTCAAGGTTCGTTGAGATTGTGCCCTCGGGTAAATCACCGGATTGAACTAAACCTCCAAGGATCGATTCCATTCTTTGAAGTCTAGTTTCTAACGCCTCGATGTATCCCTTTGGAGGTCCGCGTTTCTTTGGTGCATCAATAAAGGCACTAAAAAGTAATCAAAAGGTTAGTAAGAAAAAAAAGGGTACCGATCTATAATTCTAATGCTTACCATTCATATCCATAAGCTTTGCAATTTGTACAAGATGGTGGATCTGAACCAGGTTGTACACCATCGCAACGAACTTTTTTTCTTCGACAAGTGTCGCAAGCTCTTGCGACCCTACGTCTTTTAATACTATTCAAATCTTCACTTGACATTTGTTAATACAAGTTTTGTCGATTTAAACACGATTTTAAGATTATAATTTTATCCCAATATTATTGAACCCAAACTGTTATAATGATATCCTTTTTTTTTTAATAAAAAAAAAAGGAAAGAATAAATAAAAAGGGTAACGATATTTTCAAGCGAACCCACAAAAATTGTTATTTTTTTATTTACTAGAAATAAACAAGATTGTAAAACAAAATGTGGTCTAACGATTGTATAATAGGAAGAAAAATAAAAAAATAAAAAAAAAAAAGGAGACTTGGCGAGTTCCCTTGCTTTATGAAGGCATATATATATTATTTTTCGAAATAATAAAATGGGTGATGAATATTGTAGATAGTTAATTTATGTTATGCAGCTTTGGTGTTACAATAACAATTCTGGAATTCTTCGATTGATGCTGCGGCACGAATCAAATTATACTATAATTGGTAAGGCAACTTTTTTTTTTCAATTAACGTGTGATAAAAAAAAAAAAATTTTAAAATTTCACGTATTATAAATCAAAAATGACAATCTTCAAATGCGAATCGATTTAGTATTGTCAGAATGAAATATTTATATAGTTAAGTCCAATTTACCAGTAGCGCAAACAATAAAAATGGGGTTGAGTAAACTTTCGTTACTTTAGCTCTCGATGTACTTTCTGTTAAAATTTAGAGAAAATTGTATATATTGAGTATTCTAGGAAGAGGTCAAGTTTCACCGATAATCTCTTGGCATATTAGTGTGCACGTGCATTATAGGTGGATGAGTCATCAAGCGTAGGTAGGGTAAATGCCAAGAAGGATTAATACATCTTTGCTTTGAAACGAGAAATAGAACTTTTTTTTTTCTTTTTTAGCAATGGCACTATTTATTTTACGCCAATGGTATCCAAAGACAGAACGATCGTTTAAAGATATTCAAAAAAAAAAAAAAAATCTTTCTCTAAATAGTAATGATTAATTGTAAAGAGGTGGCTGAAACACCAAGTATAGAACATCTCATATTAAAATGGTCATGAAAAGAAAGGAATTTATAAAATTAAAAATAGATACTATTTCAACGCGTTACATTTGATTAAATTAATTAAATTATTTAGTAAATCAGTAATCTTCATTTATCATTAATTTTATGGAATCTGGTTTGATTTTTTTTTATTTATTCTTTTGCGCTCTGTTCTTGTTTACAAAATCAAATTTTTTTTTTTAACAAAATAAAAACTCGGTTACAATGGTATAACAGGGAATTGTCATGTAGTGCAAACGATTAATGCGGCGCAACGTATGATAAATAACCAATTGATTTAGATTTCGATTGGACTTCCTTTTCTACCATTTTTTTTTTTTTTTTTCCTCAAGAAAGATTCCTTTAGCGCGATACATACAGCACATAAAAACAATGCTTTAAAGTTACATGATAACGTTGATGGTTTTTGTTTGTTTATTCCCAATCCATTTTTTTTCAACAATATCTGTTAGTTTTAGTTTGAAAATCCAGGAGTTTGAATGTCATTTGACAACCTTTATTTTCCTTTAATAAATTTTATTTACATATATATATAATCAAACCTTCCTTTTCAATTGGTGTATACAAATCAATGTTGAGTTTTAACTAATCATTATATAAAGTTTTCGGTATCGGGATACCCGATATGTTTCAACTGTCCGCATATGCAGAAGTAATGTATCACGTAAACATGCACAAAAATTATTAATGTTACACAATTTCGAAATTAAATCGAAGGAAATTATCAAATTTTATGTTGCCATGCGTCAATTTAAGAGAACTTTATTTATCATCGTTAAGCGATAACCATCATGAATGTGTGTGATCAAAACTCTAGTAGAAAAAGTATTCCGAAATTTTACGCGTACATGTGACATGAATTATTTGGCGCGGACGATTTCTCAACAAATTTGTTAAAATAAAAAAAAATTAGCCCGTGCTTATGTTTATAGAAAATCTATCTGATAGCATTTGTAATCTAACTGTATTTATTGATATAGATGAACGGAGTTGTTTGATAAGTAAAACTTCCTGTTTTTGAACTATTTAGGAAGTTATGCGTCAGAAATTCTGATCAATATTGTTCAAAGATCATGATCCAACCGTATCATTAAGGAGCCAAGGAAATTAAAAAAAGATTCGGTTAGTATATAATGAAATTCAATGCATAGAACTTTCGTTTAACCAAATATCATGTGGGAAATTGTTGAAGAATGAGATTTTTTTTTCTTTGTCATACATCATGTTGAGAATTTATTTTTTTTTTTTCTATTCCAAATGTTTATTAATTATAGTTTTTTCAACAAAGAAGTGTGTAATCATTAAATGCAAGGAACAAGATTTTCGTGCATCAAAAAAAAGACCACATTGGCTAAAATCAGACACGCGGAAAAGGGTTTTACGCGCACATTCAACTTTTTTTTATTACAGTTCTCGATATATGTGCTTGAAGAAAATCGGATTAACCTCTTGTGACGCTAAAACTTATTTCCTTATCATTATTGCCTATCCTAATTTGGCATGACGGAATAATACATGCCGAGATACCGCTTCTTTTGTATTGAATTTCGGAAATCATCCGTCTCTATATATTAATTGGGATTAGAATTTATGCAACGAACTGCGGTCCATTAGAATTGGTTGCCGGGAACTTCATTTATAAATGTTAAATATAGATTTCAAATATATTTTACGTGTTTCATTATTCATCAAATGAAGATTAACCCAAAAGAGATTATTAATTCATTACCAAAATAATCATTCCCTTTATTACAATAAATATGTATTCACCCCATAGAAATTCAATAAATGTTAGTTAATATATATTAAAAAAAGTAATTAGTATGACGCGACTGATAAAGTTGTAAATTGCACGAATTAAATCCAACAAATTTGATAAACCCCCAACAATTTAATTATATAATTTTAAAATTAATTAATTAATTTAATTTATAATTTAAACTAAACGTTAACAAATAACAACGTTCAAGTTTGTGTGATTCACCAAACAAATAAGAATTCATATTGATGATTATTTTGTTCATATTATCTTTATATACATATTTTTTTTTTTTTCAGAGATTTCATGAGATCGATTTTCACAAAATATATGCTGCTATTGTAAAATTTATCACACCGCGTGCCAAAAACGAACCATTTTTAAGATTTGTAATGTATATATCGAGTTAGAAATTACTACAAATAATCGCATTGATTTATATAATTGGCGCTCTAATTGTACAACGCGTTATTCTTTTTCTAGATGAGAATTTTTATTCCAACAATCTTTTTATTTTTTTTTCCTTTGTCTTGTCTTTAACCAATTACTTTTTATTCTGAAACTTATTCGGTTATTCAATCTTTACACACGTAGATATAAATGCAGAGTAACCAATTAACATTTACCATGATTCCGGTTTGAACATAGGACCAAAGTTTTTGATAATTCGTATATCGAAAATTATAAATTATTTCAAATAAAAAAGAGTCCACCCTCCGAAAGAACAGAGAAAGAACGTTCCTAAAAAAAAAAAAAAAAAAAAAAAAAAAAAAAAGGTAACAATCCGAAAGAAACCTTCGAAATAAATATAAATGCATATCGAAATTTGAGAAAAAAAACTCGAATATTTGAAACTTCAAACGTAAATCCCCACTTATTATGAGTACGTATTTGTAGTTTATTGGTTTTGTTAGTTTACATCAAATTTATGTACCCCAAATTTTTTTAAAATTTTAAAATTTTCAGAAGTTTTATGATCATCCGTACAATGATCATAAATTGTAAAAATTGTTAATTTTTCATCATTAATCGCGTTTTAATACGAATTTATTTTTATTTTTTTTTGTAATTTTGTATAGACAGGTGACGTCATTGGTTTGGCGCAGCAATATAACGTGTGATTTTTTATCCAAAAAAAAAAAAAAAAACCATAAGCATGACAGAGCATCAAAGGTAAATCATTGTTTATTGTGATTTTTATTCTCCTTTGTTCCGAAGATTGGGGGAGGTTATCTATTTACCGGATTTACAATTAAATCCTTTATTTCCTTTACCAGTTAAAAAAAACTTTTTTTTTATGGCCGCTAGGTATTCGTAAACGAAAATCGACGAAAACAAACGATGATCCCGTTTTAATAAATTGGCTTTGTTCCGTTTAATTTACATTCATAGATCTCATTTTAAAATGAAACGTGCGACCAGATTTTTTCGCATGAATTGAAGATATCGAAGAATCATGTGGACGATAAATATTGGAATCATCGGAACTTCATTACCCCGAGTTTCCCCGCGTTTATCATTTTGACAAATTTAAATTAAATAAATAAATCATTCTCCTTAATCATGAATTCATTTATAAACATCATACGCTATACCAAATCAGATTGTAAAAGACGACACCTTCGCGAATAGATCATATTTATGCTTCTTCCATTAAACGAATATAGAACAATTACGTTCAACAAATATTTTTATATTTATAACAACTTGCAACAAGAGAAGGGCTTTTTTTTTTTTTTTTTGTAGAAACTTTAATAAAAAATTTATTAAATATCCAAAAGGTATTGTTAAAAACTGTCAGGAATTTTTTGAAATCTCCCATAATTATACAAAAGATTACTTTTTTTTACTGTTCACATAATGATTCGCCCGGTAATAAAGAGGAACCGCTGTTGCTGCTATAACTGTAAATCCTTGTGCAGCTACCCTGTACCTTAAAAAATGTTGCATGGTTTTTGAATCTCCTCTATAAAATCCTATTGTCGCCCCTACCAACGCGAATAAGGTTGCAAACATTCCTATTAAAGCAAATTAATAATTAATCATAAATCGAGAAAGAATGTGAAAGTTAAAATATAAAGGAGAGATAATGATACCGAGAGGAATTAATGGTTCTTCCTTGAGTCGTCTAACGAACCTATTATTTAAAGTTTCATAACGAACTTGTGGTTCTTGTAATGGTAACGATGTGTTAGAGGTGGAAGAGGGAGAGGAAGAGGAAGACGGTCCGGTTTGTTGTGACATTATCTAAAAGAAGGAACGAATTTTGTTAATAACCATAAAACAAATGTAAATTTTTTGAAATATTAATTAACCGAAATATATTCCTTTTAAACATTTGTTTTTATGGTTATTATTTTCCACCCACTTTGACTTACCTCCAAAAAATATATATGACTTTCCCTCTAAACAACACTTTCACCATCGCAATCCCCACTATATACTTTCCTTTTCTTATAACAATTGCGGGTCCAATAAATTATTCCAATAAAAAAGGAATCCCCAAAAAATTTTTTTTTTTTGCTTTATGGATAATCTGTCGAACATCAATTAGCATTGTTACACGGCAACGGAAATAACAAGTCACGTGAAAATTCGAATTTTTTTTTTTTTATTCATAAAAATCAATATATACGCTATTTATAAAAACCCAAAGCTTGAACCAAAAGTAAGAGGAGATAAAAAATTATTTTATTCTACACAAGTCCATAATTGTTTATTCGTCATTAAAGACCAAACACAGAGATAATTATCTTCCCAATCAGCGTTTCGATATTCTAATGCTTGTTCTGATTTAGCCTTTGGTCTTAAAATAATTAAAGCTTTAAGATATTTTTCATCGGGCCAAATAACAAAAGCTAATTCTAATAATCTAACAAAACTATTCAATTCAAATTCTTTAATATTCTTAAAAGGCCAACCTTTCCCATCTGTCAGAGCATAAGGTAATAAATAATCAACCGCTTTTTTAATGGATTGACCTTTAGGACCAACGTAATTCCATCCATCAAATCCGTAATATTGTGATCGTTCAGCCAAGAGAAATAATGCTTGTAAATTAAAAACAGAATAAAACCATGAAGTGGGACGGCTTGTTTCATGACGTTGTTGTCCTGAAGAATTAATTCCTGTATCTACCCTATGAATCAGCGCCTCACGTGAATACTTACGCGCATCATCTTCTCTGTTTAAATATGTTAATAAAAATGTTGCTTGCACGTCATAATATGTTCCATGATTATTTGATGAAGCCCTTTCCTTTATTCCTAAAGAAGTTGTTTCTAACCACTCATAATAATCTGATATCCATTGTTTTAACTGATCTTCGACCAAGAAATCCCATTTACTCGATGAACGCATTAAAGGTATGGATTGTAGCATTCTATAAATCGGATGCATATCTAACACGCCAGTTCTTCTTCCCGATCTGGACCCTTTGATAAAACTTGCATATTTTAGATTAGGATTCATTTTTGTCTCCGGATTTATAAACCATTCTTTAATTCTATAAATTGCTTTCTCAACATATGAATCATTTCTTGTAAAAGAATAAGCAAATCCTAAATTCTCGACGTCCTTAAATAATTTTCTCAAGAAAGCATAATCCTTGACGGTTTCAATCTCAGGATTAGGGTAACCATCTCGATTTATATAAGGTAATCCCTTACGTTCCTTTGGATTCGGCCAATAATACCTTGCCAATGACATATAATCATGTGGATCATGTGAAGGTGCAAGTTGAGGCTTTAAGGTCACCGAATAAACCGAATTATTCTTAAATGCTAAATCTGCTTTATACACCAACATTGATAACATCTGATGATGTTGTTGTCGGAAAATGGAAAGGTAATTTACGTAGTATCTACTATTTATGTATTCTTTAGGTTTACCGTCGATATCATAAACTGTAGACAGCTTGTTAGAAATTGAAGGTGGGATCGCATTCATTGTATCGAAGGGTTCAGTTTCATCTTTCACTTCAATTTTATTTGATTTTCTTGGTGAGTCGTTCATTGAAATATTTTTGGTTTTTGAATAATCATTAAGGTCGTGATCTTTTATAGAATTGTCTGTTAGACCAAACGTCCATAAAAAAATAAAACATAGCGTACCAAATATGGTTAAAATCAACAATTTCTGATTATGTGATCTCATATCTTGGAATTTCCCAAGGCAAAAAGATTCTTTATTTTCGTTATAAAAATAAAATAAAAAACAAGAAAGAACGAAAGAAAAGTCAAAAGGTGAATTGAAATTTAAAAAGTATTTAAATAATTATCGTAATCATAAGTAAGGAGATAGTTTGGTTAGCAATTGGTAATTCATTTCGGAATAGTTGGAAAAGGAAAAGAATATCTAGTATACTAGGAAACGGTGACCGTTGTGAGTCCTGAGCGAATTATTGGACGAAAATCACGTGGCGGACAGAGAAACGCTCACATGACCAATATTTTCTCAATGCACGGAAATATATGGTCCTTCGCTTCGCTCAGTACAAAAATTGCATATATTGTATGCTAAATAAAAATTTCTTCTGGAAATTAAGAAGGTGATAGTGTGATTGAATTTTACTCAACAATATAAACATTTGAAATTGGGAATTTGAAATCATGTAATGAAATAAAACTTTCAAATTAATAATTAATGTGTTCTGTAATAACTTTTAATGTGGGAAGTTTCTTTACATGTTATACAAGTTTCTTATAACTTCATAACCAAATAACTGATTATTGCTGCACTAACTGAAACTGTTCGGTTCTTTGAAACACTTAAAACTCATTATGCACCGCAGTAAAATTGTAAACGAGCGATTAACAAGAAGCCAAGTCAAAAAAAAAAAAAATATATAATAATCCAAGAATTACAATAATTTGATTTGTTTACGTCTTGGTTTTCTTTAAAATTTAACTCTCTCTTGGCAGTTCAAAGATAATGGACTTGAGAAGTCACTTTGAATTTCTTGGCAAAACAATTCTGAGAGTATTGTGTTGCCAAGAAATTAAAAAATATTTCCATATTTAACCACTTGCATTAATTTTCTAATTATAACTGGATACGTCATTCAATTCGGGCATGGTACTCCTTAGTTTAAAACCTTTAAACTAAATAAAGAAAATAAGACCAATTATTTTTCACTTATCCACCTTTGTCTTGGGAACTTTTTTATTTATAAAAAGACAAAAACAACTTAGAAAAAATATTTTTCAACAAATTATTTACCAACCTCAAATAGCGAAAAACTCGATTTAATAATATCCTACGTGTTGCTGCATTTCAAATAAAAGTTAAAACAAAAATGTCTCTGACACCTCTTGCCTCACCTCTACCTGTTAAAAGTGAAGAATTAACTTGTCTTTGGGATCAATGTTTTCGTACCTTTGACGATCCTGAATTACTTTACGGTCACTTAGCTCATGACCATGTTGGTCGCAAATCAACCGGTAACTTGTGCCTTAGTTGTCATTGGGATAAATGTGAAGTGGTAACCACGAAAAGAGATCATATCACTAGTCATTTGAGAGTTCATGTTCCTCTTAAACCGCACGTCTGTGAAATTTGTAAAAAAGCTTTTAAACGCCCTCAAGATTTAAAGAAACATGAAAAGATTCATACTGATCAACATCAACAAGCGATTACAATGGGAAGAATTAATAGAGCTAAATCTCTTCAACCCCCCACTCCACCTCATTGTTGTTCTTCCTCTGAACATTCACCATCAATATCATCTGTTTCTTCACCTCATCATATTCCTCTCTCGCCTGGTAACAGTGTAACCTCGGAATTAAATAATGATTATTCATCATCAAACTATGAAAATTATGATGTTTATTCCCAATTTGCTAATGGGGAATTATATGACTTAAACACTTATTTAATGGACTCTACAAACGGTTTAAATAATTATAATCGTTCAAGCAATAAACGTAGTGTTGATATGTTTGATGGTTTCGTTCAAGACGTTAAAAGGAAACGAATTGAACCTCATTACGATGATGGTAACTTAGTTTTTTTTTATTTTGATTTTAAAACAAGGAAAAAATTTTTTTTTTTATTTAATTTATTAACACCTTGCTTCTACTTTTAGTTTTGTTTAGAAAATTGGAGGATTTGTCGAAGGTCATTGATCAAAATGGATTGGAGTTTGATTCGCTTCCATCTCTTAATACTAAAGAGGATTTTAATGAAATCAATGACTTTTTCGCTAATACCTTGAAAGAAATTAGTCCTGAACTCATATTGAATGATCTTGCTTTGGGTTTAGACAATCCATATAATTCAAATGTTCAATTAGTGCCACTTCCCCTTAATACTTATCCGGCTGATGCTGATGCGAATGGCTTTTTAAGTTTAGATGAGAATAATACCGTTGATAATGTTTTATATTCTTCTAATTATCCTACAAGTGTTAACCCTCCCGTTAGTAATTTACATGATGGTGCTTTTCAAACTGCTTTATCAAATATTTCTACTACCATTCCAACTACTTCAACTCTTTATAATCCCAATAATATTCCATCTCCACCGGAAGATTCAAAATATCCTTGGAATGCAATGGGTTTGATGTATGTGCCTGATATAGCTAATCCAATGACTTCCACCACTTCTACTACGACACCTACTTTACCTTCTCAAATGTTTCCTGCACAATCTCTTATTTTTGCTACTGGAGCTGGTTATGAAAATCATGTTTCATTATCTCAAACATCGGAATATCTCGATGTGGGTCAGGAGTTGACTCCTCATCAACAACATGTTGAAATTCAAAAAAATCCCCCAACTAAACCTTCTTTACAAGAGGCAATTTCGCAATCGAGCAAAATTCGTGCGAGCACTACTACCGCAGAAAATAATAAATCACAAAAGAAAAGTACTAGTAGTTCTGGAGGAAATGAAGAGAAGGATGTAAAATCATCTGGAATTATGACACATGCTTCTCATCAAAGAAATCAAGAAGACGTTATGGTGGGGAAGGATAATACAGAAGAGATGAATGATCTTATGGATCAATTATCCAAGGATTTATATAACATCGAGATAACAGATGATGATCCCGTTGCTCAATCTTCACCTGTTGAAAATGTTGAATTAAAAGCTAAGCATGTTGCTATTATTATTGCACTTTATAAAAAATTTACTCAACTTTCCATAAGAATGGATGAACAAGTAAAAGAAAATGATAGGGTTAAAGTAAAAATAGAAGTTTAAGAAATTTTTTTTTTTCCTTTTTTTTAAAAAAAGGTCGAATGTATATTTTATTATAGAATTATGACCAGGGTGATTAATACTTTTTAGAAATATAAGTTATCCGGTTTATCATTATCATTATTTTTATTTCTATCATTTCATATAACTATTTTTCCAAACAAACTCTTTTTTTGTATGATACCTAAATTATATCTAATTTATCTTTAGTAAAGATTATTATAATAAAAAAATTATAGTATCTAAAGACATTTGTTTATTATTATAAAGAAACAAAGTTATTAAATCTTTTTTACAAAATTATCATTGGTCCATTTCATCATCCGAAACTTCCAATTCTTGAAACTTTCTCGTGATTCTTTTGATATGATGCTTACTTCTTGATCTATTAATACTATCACCAATTACATTTGAAGAATCCCAAGCTATTTTACAGGCTGGACATACATAATCATTTCTTGAATCAAAGTATCTACGAACACAATGATTGTGAAAACGTGTTTTACATTGTGCAACCCTACACCTTTGTCCCTAATTGTAATTTTTGTGTTAGAAAAAAGAAAATTTTTTTAAAAGGAAAAAAAGAATTAAATTTCCGAATATCAATTAATCTCACTTTTGTAACAATGTCATAACATAGAGTACACTCTAAAAGGTGATCTTCGAACTCTTCTTTGAGGTACTGTTGTAATTCCAAGATCGATCTTTGACTCAATGAATACTTTCCTTCACTATATAATATAAAAAAAAAAATTGAAAAAATTCTTTTTTAAAAATATCACTTACATGTTTTATGCATTTGAATTGATAATTACCGTGATCTAATCAACCATTTATCATCCGTAAATCGTTGTAATAACGTTTCTCCGTTACTTTTTGTTAATGGAACTTTTAACTTTGAAACTTCTTTTAAAGCTATAATTGATGATACAGAAAATTCCTCATCATCTGCTGTAACAATAAGTTCTATCTTTTTTATTTATTTAAAAATGTCAATTTGATTATAGTTATGAAAATGAAAATGGATTTAATAAAAAATGTCGTCTTTTACCAATCTTCTGAAAAACGTTATTTCCACAGGTGAGTATTCGGTGGCTATTTGTGCGATATCATCACCATTTGTATTGACCTTTAGAAAAAAAAAAGGGAAGGGAAGGGGAAAGGGAAAGAAACGAAACGAAACGCAAAGACGTCTCTCAGAAAAAACTCTTTTTTTTTTTAAAAAAAAAAAAACATTATTAATTATATATTTATTAAATTATATTACTAAAGCCCAAACTGGCTTTCCATCATCTTCGTTATGACTTTTTCGAAGTTCTAAATCTACAATATTTAGCTTTGCATTAATCGTCGCGATAAATTCTGTAAAAGTTTCTGAATTATGATCTAAACAAGGTCATTCTATTTTAATAATTTTTCTTAAAAAAATCTTGAAAAAATAATAAATTAATACCGTCGGTGGCTTGACATGCTTGCTGGTATAATCTAATCGCTGTTTCCTCCGTGAAAAACCTTTCAGCGATAGAAGCTTGTAAAAATAACCTGTGTGTGTCTGTATACTCACCATTCATAATCGTTTTTAACTAAGCCAATAATAATAAAAAAAAAAAAAAAAAAAAAAATGAAAAAAAGAATGAAAATTTCTTCATGAGAATGTCGGAGAGCGCGACTCCAATCCTACTTTCACGAGTGACGAATATTTAATGCTGTGTCACCTCAATTTATGGCATTTATTTAACATTATTTATTATTAAGAATTGGGTAGAATGTTTATCTTTATTCTTTTTTACAATGTTCATTTAAATTTATGACATTCTTTTTCCTTTTTGAACATTCAATTACATTGATCTACAGGGTTAAAAATTTTAATCATTCACTTGGAACGTCGATTAAAATTTTATAATTTCTCCCAGAGAAACACCCTATTTGTTTTGATTTTGAGCTATTTTTTTGTAAGCAATTTTTTTTTTTGTTTATAATATGTTCGTTCTACGTAAATGAAAAGGATAAAAAAGAAGAAGGGGGGAGGGGGATAATATTATAAGGAATAAACAATAATACAAAAGGTTTAAAAAAAATGAAAAAGGGGAGTAAAGCGAACAATCAGAAAAAAAAAGATTCAATTTAAGAAAGTTTATTGAAATCAAAAAAAAAAAAAAAAGAAAAAAAAAATTATATATATGTTTGTATAAAACGGATCATATTGTAAATTTAACAAGGCGGGATAAGGTGGTAAAACCTAAAGGAAAAAACAAGAATGAAAGGGTTCTCTTTTTATGGATAAAATTTTGTAAAGTTTTGTATGGAGTGCCTCCTAAATAAAATATATAGTAAAAGTCCCAATGTTCATAAAAAAAAAATTATATATTGCGAAATCCAGTGTGGATGTCGTTCTAATAAGATATATACATACATATACACACCCAAATATAAAACACGCACACAAATTTACATAAAATATAATACGCTCGAAATTTCTCTGTTTTTTCCGTGACAAAGATGTTAAGTTGAAGTGGTAAAATATTTACCAACCAGCCAAGTATAACGGATTTTAAAATAATTAAGCATCGGAATCTCCGCCATTTGCAGTTGCCATTCGACGGTCCTTTTCATTTTCTAGCTGATTATACAATAAGTAAAGAGCTTTCTCATTGGATTCGGGAGTTCCTTGAATTGTGAACATCCGCTCGCCGGTTTCGTCATGTGGCGTCTTTGCGATGCTAATGCGAGAACCTGAAAGTCTGCGAATTTCGGAAATTTTTGACCCGCCTTTACCAATAATACATCCAACCATATCAGCAGGAATAGAAATATTTTGAGTTTGAATGCTGTTACTATCATAATTGTTAATACTGTTAGATTGACGACGATTATTATTATGATAATCGCGGGAAGGACGAGTGAAATCAGTCCCATTGCCAGTACGGGTAGTATAATCATTACGGCGGGTGGTAGAATAACTTGAAGAAGTTACTCGAATGGCGGGATTATATAGGACTGTTCCAATACCACGTTCGTTATCTTCGATAAGACACTTGCCAATTTCCCAAACTGCAACACGAATGGCCTCGACAGTTCCCTGAACTTCCACAACTCTTTCGGTACTCTGAGGAAGCATTTCCTTTGATGCGACCATCCTAGCCCCAGAAACATCTTGAATATGTTTGATTTTAAGTCCTTGACGGCCAATGATAGTTCCCATCAAATTATGAGAAATAAGCAAACGAACGGAAGTAAATGCATTCGGTGAAGGGGTTATTGGCGTGGAATTAGGGCTTACGTTCACCGGATTCTCAAGAAGGGTTTGTGCGATCAAAGAATATGCCTGTAAGATGAATTAAATTGTTTAACTAAAAAAATTATCTTCTTCTAAACTATAAATGCGATTGTAGAATTCATTAAAATAAATGTTTACCTTGGCTACACCATTAAGGGTACCTGCGACAGATAATACTCTGTCTTGAACACCTTGCACTACTTTAGATACACCGGCTTTAACACCTGTAATCTCCCTCAACTCGGCAACATTTTTACCGGCTTTACCAATAATTACTCCTGCTTCTTTTGTAGAAACTAAAGCTCTTAGGGTAAGTGCAGAGTTTGATATATCTCCATCATCTTCTTCAATGGATTCTTCTCTGTGTTCTTCTTCAACTTTACTGTTATTTTCGATAGTAATAGCATCATCGGTTGTAGTCATAAATGGGGCATTATGTTCAAAAAGTGAATGTGAATTAACTGTAGGAGTTGAAGAGGAGGAGGAAGTGGCGGTGGTGATACCATTATTTGTAGTTACGACCGTAGGAACGCTAGTTCCATTACTCTCGGCCTGGTCTTGAAGACTGACACGGTTGGTGATAGGATCATTTGCCATTTTATGAACGAGAAATGGTTACGTCAAGTATGTTGTTTTGACTATATAATAATCAAATTAATAAATGAATTTATTAATAAATTAACAAAATTACCAAAACTTTCTTAGATTATGTTATATCTCACTTTTATTTTTGAACTTCCTAACCTATGAAATAATCCGGAAATATTGGAGATAAAAAATCGTTAATAACAAGGAATAAGGTAGGAAAGTATCTTTTTCTGAGATAACCCGGAGTGAAGGAACAATACGTTCCAATGTAAGTCAAGTCACAGGAATAATAAAAGGAATAATAAAGGAATAAAGAGGTGGCGAAAATAATTGGAAAGATCGAGGTATATCGAAAAAAATTTTTTAATATTTTTTTTTTTTTTATATAATATATATATATATATATATATATATATTTTTTTTTTTTTTTTTTTTTTTTTTTTTTTTTAAAAAAAAATGAAATATAAGGTGAAGGGTGGATATGAAAGGAATATTAGGGTTGGCGTGTCGTGTTAGGAAGAGGTTCGAAGGGTGTTTTTTTTTTTTTGTTCCAAATGTTCGTTAAATGTTTTTTTTTTTAGGTTGTCCTCTGTGCCGCGAACAGTTGCACGACACAAAAAAAAACCTGATTGTTTTGTGACGTGATTTCTGTGGATCCTGCTTGCTGAACAAAGAAAGCAAAAATGTTCACATTAAATCAAACAATGCACATTTCTGTGAAATGATTTAAATAGTATCATTGTAAAAAGAGAATCTTCATTGGTTAATATCAAGATATTATCTTGTTATCCTTTTTTATCAAAAACTTAAGGCTTTAATATATACATAAAATTTTATAAGGAGTAATAAATAAAAGAAAATTTTGTAGCACTATGAGCTTTCAAAAAAAAATACAAAATACATTTTATAGCTTTAATCCTTTTAATTTATATATTTTTACAAATTAATACTTATAATATTTTAATTAAAAATAATGTTATATAGTATGCTTATTTAAAAAAATTTTAATTAATATAATTATTTTATCAAAAATTATATTTTTTTTATATTATTAAATAAATTCTATAAAGATAAAATTATTTAAATTATAAATAATTTTTTAAAAAATTATTATAATAAATTAAAATTTAAATAAATAGATGTTATAGTTTAAAGTTATATATTATATATAATATAATATTATTTATTTTATTTTATTTTATAAATATCAACTTATATTAAATACTTGTCATCACATATAAAACAAAGTAATCATTATGCTTAATAATTAGAAAAGTACTCATATACTAACTTAAGTAACAGCATGATTACTTTTATATAATATCACTTTAATCAAAATCTCTACTATATAAATCACTTAATAAAGTTAGTTATACTGCCTGTATTACTCTATTCAACTTAAATAGATCTTTATGAATTTTACTGTCAAATTAGAATAAAGGAATTAATTTAGTCTTAGATTTTACTACATCTTATTTTTACTGTAATCTTACAATCTTTACATGTTATCAGATAAATTTAGTAATAAAACAACCTTATAAAATTTATATCTTAAAAGATACTATCTTATATAAAATTGTAAAATTAATTATTATATCTATATTGTCAAATTTATTTAGAAATCAAACCCAGCCTATAATCTTAGTAACAAATAAATGAGTCTAATATTATAGTTTATAATGCAATCTATTATTATTAGTAATCCTACTAAGTTAATTTAATATACTAATGATTGATCAATCACTTCTTTATTTGTATAAAAATCTCTTAAATTGAAAAGGTGAAACAGTATTTATTACAAATATATTAATTAATCAGATTTTTGTCAATCTATAATATCAAATACTTTCATATGTTCTTTAAATATAATTAATATTAATTAATAAATTAACCAACTAGTTTCTAATGCATATTAGTATATATACTTACATATTCAGTCACAATTAAAATTTTATACAATTTATATTATTATTAGGCCTAAATATATAGCTATTATAGTATAACCTACAATAAAAGCTTAGTTGTTACTAACTGAATTAGAAATACTAATCTTTATAATATCATTTTACTATAATATTTAAATTAGATTATAATGTAACTATTTAAATTATAATATAATTATTTATATTTTAATATAAACTAATTAGATTATATTATCCCTTCAAGCGTTTTGCAGGCAAATTTGCCTGCAATTTTATTTAATAATTAAAATTATTTATAATAATTTTAAA